TTCTAAAATGAGAAAAACGAAGTAACTCCTCCCACCTCTTTTTGCATCCCAGTCCATAAGCATATACAGTGGATAACATAGCCAATAGTAAGCAATAAAGTGTATGCTAGCACTCTTGAGGAAAGAGCAGAAGGCTTTCTGGTAGGGGAAGAGGAAGGGCTTCTTCCGTGCTTCTTGCTTGATCCTGGGCATTGTATTGATAGAAGTAGTTACTCTTTGGGCTGATTTTATTGCTTTGGTGTGTGTCCCTTTCCTAAGGCATCCAATACTGTAATGCTGCCTAAAGGAATTACTTTCTATGTCTTAGTTACCTATACTTTCTTCTTTGATTCCATGTGTCCTTTTGCACTTTCCCTCTCAGTCAAATAAAATTAACCAAATCCCATTACTGCTTCAAATCTTGAGTTTCATGAGAAAAGAAAATGAGTTTAAAATAATGTGTGAAACATTGATACTTGTGGAGGGATAAAAATGTTTTGTGTCTTTATGTAATTGTTTCAAAAGTAAGTGACTTGGCATTTCACAGTTAAAAAACATAAAGTCAATAAGCAAGTGTGAAGAATTTTTTTGGAATGATGAAATCACAAGACTACTTGTATTTGGAGACCTGTAAATGGTATGGTCTTAGTTCATCCCCCCTTCTTTCTAGCATTTTTCTTTTATTTTTAAGTGATAGTTTTATTGATTAAAAATTTATTGGTGTGTGGGGTTGCATGTGTGGAGGAGAGCACAACTTTCCAGAATTGGTGTCCTGGGTGCCAGGCTTGCCCTGCAAGTACTTTTACCAATTGAGCCATCTTACTGACCCATCCTTATGTTTTTTGAACCCAGGTTTCTCAGTCTGTAGAAGGAGTGCTCATATTACCAACCCCACATGTTTATTAGGTTTTCTAACTAGATGGTATGTTTGGAAATACACTTGAAAGATGTCTGGCATATTCAGTAATCTGGTGGCTTCCTTGAAAAATTCATTTTTAGCAATTTCACAGCAGTAGTGCAGATGATTCAAAATCTTTGCTACCATTTGTAAACTAAGAGGCTACTTCAGTTTTTATATCAATATTTTGCCTGACATAGCACACACAGATATCAATAAATGAAGTCCTTGTCATCACAAAAACCATTGTTAGGGCTGGAAAGATGATTCAACAGTTAAGAACACTGGCCATTCTTGCAGAAGACCTGGGTTTGGTTCCCAGTACTTACATGACAGCTAACAGCCATCCTTAACTCCAAGTCTATGAGGCCTGACACCTTCTTCTGAGGTCACTGCATGATATGGATCCTCTTAACATATATGCCTCTGAGGGCACTGCATGATATGGATCCACTTAACATATATGCAAGCAAAGCACTCATACATATAAAATAAAAATAGATTAAAAAATTAAAAAAAGAAGCCATTGTTTCTCAGAAAGACAGCTAAAACAATTACCTGCAGAGTGAACTTCTTTACACCCATCCTCTTTCCCTTTCTCTTTTGTTCCTCCTTTCCTCCCCCCCCCTTTTCATTTTTGCAAAATTATAGATCATTTGCTGGCCATATTTAAAGCTCCCTGAATGAGAGATCAGCTATCTTATTTGAGAGACACTAATAAATGAAAGAATAGCAGGGACCTGATGCTTTATATTATATGAGAATAAAACATCCAGAGCTGTAGATATTTTTAGGAGAAAGTTTTGAGGAGATAAGACATTACCTGTGCCTTAAAGAGGGCGTAGATTTTGTATGGCCACAAGTAGAACATTCTAGGCAAGAGAAACAGTAAAGTGCCATGATAGGATAATTGAGTCATGTTCAAGGGAAATCAGAGTCAGTTCTTCTTGCTCCTAGATGATTTAAGTTGGAGTTGTGAAAAATACAGAGAATTTAAGAAAGATCAAGATCAACATGGTCATGGAAATAATATAGAGGAAAATAAAGAATTATATTTTAAAGCTGGAGACTAAAATGCTGAGAATTTAATCTGAGAATAGGAATTTATTTATTCATTTAATTAATTAATTAATTGCATATGTGCCTCCTTCAGTCCATGTACATGCAGTGCCTGTAGAGGCCAGAAGGGGGTGTTAGAGCCTCTGAAACTAGAGTTAATGTTTTGAGCCACCATTTGAATGCTAGGAACTGAACCTGTGTCCTCTACAAGAGCAGCAAGTGCTCTAAACTGCTCAGCCATCTCTCCAGCTCCTTTTTTTTTTTTTTTTTGGTTTTGTTTTTTAAGATAGGGTCTCATCATATAATTCTGGCTGACCTTGGAACCACTATGTAGACTAGGTTACTTGCTTCTGCCTCCCAAGTACTGGGATTAATGGTGTGTACTACCTTGCAAGGCTGGAAATAGAATTCATAAGGGTGAATTTTCTCCTTCTCACTCTGCCTAATGTATATGAAGATACCTGTGACCCTTCAGATCATCATAGTTACTATATTCAGATGGCATTTTATAGCCATATTCTACTTGTCTGCTCTGCAATATTGCATAGTCTTGACCACAGTTTCTTTAAAGCATCTTGTTTGATTTTGTGTCCTTCCCCCACCACGTCACTTTATTTGCTCTTGTTCTCTTGGATTGCAACCATACATTTTTTTCCAAAAATTTTATTTATGAGTGTTTTGTCTGCATGTATGTAAGTGCACCGTGTGTGCAGTGCCCCACAACGTCAGAATAGGGTTTCAGATAACTGGAACTGGTTGTTAGCTGTCATGTGGATGCTGGGAACTGAAACTGGGTCCTCTGGAAGAGCAGCCAGTGCTCTTAATCTCTGAGCCACCTCTCCAGCCCTGGGTTGCAACTTTCCTTAAGAAGCTTCTCCAGATTGAACTTTTGCTTGCTGGATATTTTCATCACAGTGTGTCACTATCATTTAAAGCATTCAGCACATCACCTGGGAAGTTTTGAAGTCTTTCTGAGTACCTTATAAGTATGCTTTAAATCCCAAGTAGAAAATTTATAAGCTTTTTGGTATTTACTGTCTGTCTCTTTTGTCACTAAGTTTTAAAAAAATATTTATTATTTTTATTTTATGTGTATGCGTGTATTGCCTGCATGTAAGTGCACCCATATTGTCCAATGCCTGCGGAGGACAGAAGAGTCTGTCGGATCCTCTGGAACTGGAGTTATGGACAGTTGTTAGCTGCCACGAGGGTCCTGGTATTCAAACCTGTGTCTTCTGCAAGAACAGCCAATGTTCTTAACCCCCGAGCCACCTCTCCAGCCCCTTGTCACTGTGTTTTTCATCACTAAGTCCTTTCAGTTCTTCTTGATGATTGTCAAGTTTATTTCCATTCTTTTTTTTAAGTGATCAGTTATATTTCTTTTTTTTTTTTTAAAGAAGAAGCGTTTCACTACAGCTTTAACATATTCAATAACACGCTCCAGAGCAAGAGTACATCTCTTTCACAAGTGGCTGCAAGTTTCTAGGTTCACAGTTGAATTAATACAGTTATACAATATTGAACTCAGCATAAGCCCCCGGAGAGAGGCCTGTAGGTCATCTATTTCCATTCTTATTGCATCTTATTTATTAGTCTCTTAAAGTGATAGGTCTATAAAAGCAGACCAGAAAGTATAGTTCTCTTATTCATGGTTTCACTTAACAGTTTCAGTGTTCAACAGCCAACTGTGGTTCAGAAATATTAAATGGAAAATTCCAGAAATAAACAGCTTTGTATTGCACACTGTTCTGAGTAATTTATGATAAAATCTCATACTGTTTCTCTCTGTCTTACCCAGAATGTGAATCACCACTTTGTGCAGTTTATCCCTGATACATGTGCTACTGCCCATTCACTTAGTTAGTATCTGTGTCAGTTATGTGGTATCCCTGTGCTTGGATTTTAAATAACTCTTATTTTACCTAATAATGGCTTCAAGGCACAAATGTATTGATGATGTCAGTTTGGTTAGGCCAATAAGAAGCTGTTTAGTGCTTTCTTTAAGTTTCTCGCATCATATGAAGGATACAGGTCAATACAGTATAACAGATATTAAGATACAGTGCAGTACAATAAGAAATTAGGTAAGAATAATCACAGTTCTATAATTTTATTATAATATTATAATGGCCTCTTTTATTATTAGTTACTGTTCATCTCTTATTGTGCCTAATTTGTGAATTAAACTTTATCATAGTGTTAACAGCCAGGTCAGGGTTGGTATTATTAGCCTACATACCATACACAGACGTATTTAATTAAAAATAAAATGTGTCTCTGCATCAGCAATCTCAACTACTCAGGAGGCTATAGGGTAGTTTCACCAGATCCTATCTCAAAAATAAAAGGTCTGTGTTTGATTCATTATTAACATTTTAAATACTAACTTATGTAGTTAATAATGAACTTTTTGTTGTATCTATTTCTGCTGTTCAAATACGCGTAGTGAAAACTACTAATTACTTTTAAAATTCTTAGACTTATGGAAATAAGGAAAGCAAGATTAGTACAATGATTAAGGGGTGTGTGTGTGTGTCTGTACATGAATGTGCAGGTGCATGCCTGTGTGTACATGTGGAGGCCAGAGCAGGATGTCTGGTATCTTCCTCTGTGGCTTTCTACCTTATTTCCTTGAGACAGGATCTCTTACTGAACTGGAAGCTCTCCTCTTTGTCTAGCCTGGCTGGACAGGAAGCTTGTAGGAGCTGCTTTTCTCAGCTCTCCAATGTTGGGGTTAGCAGGCATGCTCAGCCAGCCATGGTTGACTTTTATCATAGTTGCTGGGGATTTGAATTCAGGTCCTCAATGCTTGTATAGTAAACTCTTTTTTATCCACTGAGCCATCTCCTCAGCCCCTGACTAAGGCTCTTTAAAGACTGATTTATAACCTTTCAGTACAGCCAACACATGTCATCACAGCAAGTTATTGCCAGTATGGTTTGAAAAAATTGGAATATGAGATTTCTCTCAGCTTCTCTTAACAGTTGTTTAGTCATGGTATGCAATCATGACATTTATTTTAGCTTTTTAACACTTGATTTTCTTTGTTTCTTTCCTTAATTAGGTCCCCGATGGGCTTCCTGGAATATCGGTGTGTTTATTTGCATCAGATGTGCTGGAATTCATAGAAATCTTGGGGTTCATATATCCAGGGTCAAGTCAGTCAACCTAGACCAATGGACACCGGAACAGATACAGGTAAATATTTAACAAGAAATTATTAAAAATGCTTACAATGATTTAAAAATACTCCTTGCATCTAAGGGTGAATATTAAAAACACATACTGAAGTGGCATTTACTGTACCAAAAATTTGAATAGTATTTTACTTATTAGCTCACTCGTTTTTAGTTCTTCTTGAGTAGTCAGTTTTAAATTTATTCTTTTTTTTTTTAATTTAAAATACTGATTTTAGAGTATTTAAATGTGTGTTTTATTAAGTTGATGAAATTTGGCATTCTAATTCCATAGTTTATATTCCTGCCAGTAGAGGGAGCCTGAGTTAAGATAAAGGAGGAAAAAATTGAAATCGCCTCTTGCCTGAAAACTGACTTGGAGGATTTCCCTATAGAGATATTGTAGGTGTTCAGACAAGGACTGGTAGCTAGAAGATAGTTTAGTGAGCAAATAATTGTTTTGGCCAGTTTGGGCTTGTATAGGTTAAAGTTAGATTTGTTAGGGGGGAAAAAAAACTTTTTTCCCCCAGTGTGGCAGTCTTAAATTCTCAAAATCTTACTTTCTAATCCTAAGGTTAGCTGGCAATGTGAAAATGATTACTATATTGGCCTCACTTTGTAAATTCATGTGAAATCGCACTGATTTTCCTTATGCCATTTGAAATTGCTTTTAGTTGTTAAAAAGTCCTGAATATATATATCATCAATATACAGCCATCCTTGGTATCACAAAAGATTATTTTCAGGATGCTTGGCAGATACGAAAATCTAAGACTGTTCAGGTACTTTTTATAAAATGTAGTAACATTTGCATACTATCCATACATACATACTTGCTCTTTTGTATGCTTTAAATCATCCCCAGTTTACTTCCAGTATTGAGTATAGTGTAAATTCTATGCAGATAGTTAAATCATTTTGTTTAGGGAATTATGGTAAGAAAACATAGTGTATAAATGTTCAGTGCAGGTATGATTTTTTCCTCCTACTTTTAGTCTATAGTTGGTTGATTTTACAGATATCCAGAGATATGGAGGTTCAACTATATGTGGTTGGCCCTCAATGATATGCATGCATACCTGAGAATCAAGAAAAAAAGAAAAAGAAAACCAAAACTTGGATGGTTGGGATAAGGTAAAGAATTTGTATATAGATATCTTCAGGCTATAAAATCAGGTGTAATTGTTTTAGTTTTTGAGCTTTTTGCTGGCAAGGGTATAAAAATAAATAACGATTTTTTTATATTTTCAAAATTCTGGAGGAGAAAACATGAGATAAATCGAAGAAGTAGGGCCTTTGAACACTTCACATACAGAAGTGTTCTTAACATCTCTATAGCAAATGTGGGAATTAGTAGATGTCATCATGTTGTTATCTCTTTAAAGACAATATGAAGTGTAGATTAAAAATTCCATTTGCTGTTTGTAACGATGTACAGTGATACAAAATATTGAAGACAAAAGTGTATACCTTTTTAACGGTTTGTTTTAAATTAAAGCCAAGACATGGAATCATTAGACACTTCAGTTCTTTGGAAATATTTTTCTTTTGTGTATATGTGTGTATGTGTGTGTGTGTGTGTGTGTGTGTGTGTGTGTGTGTGTGTGTGTGTCTTTTTTTGAGACAGGTTTTCCCTGTAACCCTAGCTGGCCTGGAACTCACTATGTAGACCAGGCTGGCCTCGAACTTGGAGATCCACCTGCCTCTGCCTCGCAAATGCTGGGATTAAAGGCATGTGCCACCATGCCCAGCTGGAAATATTATTTCCATAAGGCTGCTTAGAGAATTTGAATAGCAAACTATTTGAAGCAGACAGCTGTATAGTTTAGAATAGAGTTTACTAGTCAGAGCCGTAGTTGGTTTTGAAATAGGAAACAGGTATCTTACAAGGTATTGAGTCATTTAAAAATGTAAGAATATTAAAAACTAATAATGTGTAATATTTGAGACTATATTTGAATGTTATTTGCTTGATGTTACCTGTCAATTTCTTTTGATGTTACCTGTCAACTTCTTGAAATGAGAATTATTTTGGAATGTAAGATTTTATTACTGTTTTTTCATCACTGAATGCTCTTTTCTGCTTCATGTACAACAGAGCTCTTCTCCGTGTGTCATGATGAGAAATAAGGCTTAGAAATCCAATGATAATCAATAGTTTTACTTCAAAAAAATCATAAAGATAGGTAGGCCATCCAGTATTTTGTGGTGAGACTTAATGAATACTTGTAAGAAAAGCAAAAGAGTTGTTATTTAAAACATTTTTCTGAGATGATGAAATATAAACAAGTAGTTGTTGTAAACCCAAGTTTCTAAACTACAGAGTACAATCTGTATTTCTGCCTAGAACATTTCCAGACAAATGACCCCAGAAAGGCATTAGAACAAAATAACGAAGAGGGCTGTTTCTAGACAGATTGCCAAAATTAGACTTGTATGGTCTTCACAGGATACTTGTCTTGAGGGTGCCTCAGTGTTTTCATTTGTAGAATAGGAATAGTAACATCACCTGCTTTGTATGTTGTTGAGAGAACCAAATAAATTGGTATGGGTGAATCATTTAGGAAAGAATAGAATAGTATCTGGCACATTTAAAACATGCAATAAATGACTGCAACTTTCTTTTGCTCAGTCTGTTTTTATATTTAAACTATATTTTCAAATGTAAATTTCTTTAAGTCATATGCTATTTAATATGCTCAATATGTAATTTCATTTTTTGTTTCAATGAGATTTCTTTGCATTACAGATTTAGTATATAGTTTTAGGTTTCTTCTTATGTGATTTTTCATATATATATATATATTGACTTTTCCTGTATTTGTTGCTTTCTTTTGAATCATCTTTAAATTAAAAAAAGTTAAACTTTTTCTCTCCATTTTTTGGCCTTTTTTACGTTTACTTGTCATGTTCCATCACGTTTAATATTCATTTATGAAATAAATTTATTTCTAATGCTTTTCTCAGTTCTTTCATTTTAATTGAGAATGTTTCTAATTTTCTAATTTCTAATTTTTTTCGTAACTTTTGTCTTAACTAATTTTTAAAAATCTTTTATCTCTGTCTTTTAGGTTGCAGTTTGGTCTATTTTGGCATGGGTTCATTGAGCTGATACAATTTAGGTTCATTGTAGGGATGTTTGGTTTTTATACTTTTTCTTATAAGGTTCCTCAGGAAGCTTTCAACGTTTTTTGTTTTTTAATTGAATATTGAATATAGCCTACAGAGTATCAGAGCCATAGGGGTTAGATGACTACAAGGAAACAGTTTTCCAGACAGCTGGTCAGTTACTCATATGAACTCACAGCAATGGTGACAGCATGTACAGAGTCCTTTGCAAGCTCAAATCAGACAAAATCCCAGCATAGACATAGGGAAGCAGGTAAGAAATCTCAGCCCAACCTTTTGGCAATTGATAGCTGCTGTAAGGGGGAGAGACAACATCTTAGAAGATTGGAACTCGTAGTGGGTGGATTCACAGCTGAAGGACACTGGGGGGCACAAATCAACCTTGTTTTTTGAGACAGTTTTTTTTTTTATTGAAATCTAGGGTTTGCTCAACCCTAGATTGAGCTAGGTTGGCTGGTTGGCAAGGCCAAGGGATCCTGTCTCCACCTCCCCCTGTGCCAGGATAACAAGTGTGCACTACCACATCTGACTCTTTTCATGGGTGCTTGGGAGTGAACTCAAGACTTTAACTAATGGAGCTCTGCCCCCATTTTCTTCTCCCTGGAGGAGATTCTGGAAATTTCAGAAACTTTCTACTATTAAAAAGCTAATTTAGAAAACTCCATGATAGAACAGTGTTTGACATATATGTGTTAGAACATTAATTTCTTAAGGTTTTGGTCATTGGGTAAATTTTCACAGTGACTTATAGAAGCAGGCAGATAATAAGCTTTCACTGCTTAATTCTTCGTATGCATTTATTCAAGAAAACTCCAGGTTAAAATAAAGCCTTGTTCTTATTTTGTGGGAACATTGCTGATAACTCTATCAAGCTGAAAAAAAAAATCTTAAATAATGTCATCATATGAATGCATTTTAAGTTGATTGATTTTTCTTTTAATGCTAAATCCTTACAAGGATCATTAAATGTGCCTTCAATGATGATCAGCAAATGGGAACTGCATACAGCATTGAGTTATGTATTGTGTACACATGAAGAGCAAGGTTGCCGTAAATGTGGTATTGTTTTTGTTTTTTAAAAATATTTTATTTCTATTTTATGTATATGAGCATTTTGCCTACATGCATACAAGTACATCCATGTCATACAGTGCCTGTGGAGGTCAGAAGAGGGCATTGGATCCCCTGGAACTGGAGTTATGGGTGGTTGTTAGCCACCATGTGGGTGCTGGGAGCTGAATCTGGGTCCTCTGCAAGAACACCCATTACTCTTTAATACTGAGCCATCTCTCCAGCCCCTGTGGTACTGTTTTAAAAGAAAATTTAATCCATGGGGTTTAATAAAATTACATCTTAAAGTAATTTATTTGGGGAAAAGTTACATAAATTTTGAATTTGAATGTTCAAGATTGTGTGCCCTCTTTTTCCTCTTGATATATTTTTTCAGATTAAAATTTTAATAAGACCAGTAATAGTTTTTTCTTTAAAAGATACATATTTTAATATTCTCTGTTCCTAGTGATTGTTGTAGATCTTAGGTCAAAGTACCAAACAAAATTGTAAAATATTTTTAAAGGAAAATTTTAATTGTGTTAAATCTATGCTGCCTCATCTAGTAGATTTAGAGAGCATAACTAAAGACATCGTAAGTTATTTGAATACAAGAACTTAAATCCCCATATAGAATAGTAATTTGATAGGAAATGTTAGATGTATTGAATGAACAACTGCATGAATGGATCGTCTATAAAATTCCTACTAGTTTCATTGTGCATTGTAGCTTAGACTTATGGTCATGCTCCTCTTTCCTGTATTGTGTGAATATTATAATGATAAAAGGTAGCAGGATTACAAAACTGGGTCCTTGTTCTAGCTCTGTTTACTACATGGTGA